TTTTGCAATAAACTAAATTTCAATCGATTGTGAAAACCAGACTGCAGTTAGCTTGTATGCATCAATCCAATTAACTTATTTGTACATTTATTATAGAAAGCAACAGTAAACAAAAAGGATAATTAACATGTGTTTCAATTTGTTTTTAAATCTTAAAATATAAATATTGACTTTGTCCATTATGATTAAAGCCTGTGTGAGAGCTACAATAATCTACCAAACAACTCTTTACCTTGAATGAAAATCGCAAAAAATACACCCGTACAGTTATCAGATTCTAATCAAATGAGGCACCTTGGTTGCCCGACTATAGTCAGTAACTTAGCTCAGCGCATTTTTATCATCACCAGTATTGTCTTGAATGATAAGTATAGACTCCTCGATTGAAGTTGATATTTTTTATAAAATTTAGGATATCTTGGGACACATTTCTTCATTTTACTTTTACGTAATTCGCCGAAATTGTAATGAGGAAATAGTGCACACTTTATCACGAGACATTATGGATATATTGTCTGTGATCATAGCCTGTGATTATATCTGTTTCTCTGTCTCTCCAATATTCATATCTCCTGGTTTCGAAATTAGTACTGTGCTCAGTTATTGTAGTAAAATGCTGTGAGAAATTGTTCAAACGAAAGTACAAATGGACATAGAAGATAATTTTAAGTTGAGTCTCCAGAAGAGTAAGTTATCCTAATAAAAAAAGTATATATCCCTATTTCAATGATATTGCATATATTCACCGATATAAGTCTTTCGTTCTTTTCCTATGCATACTTGTACGCTCTTGGTACGCGTCATGTCAGAGTTTCTACGCTGAGTACGTATGACAACTACAGTGATGTCCCAAACTTTTAGATTAGAAACAAAAGAAGCAAAGAGAAATTAGATGTTCCTTTCACAATAGTTGTAGGAATAGTTTTCTCTTTTTTTTTGATTGCCTTTTTTTTTTGAAACAAACAAAAATAACGCAACTGGACTTCGCAAATCGTCAGTCTATTCAAAATAAATCTATATTGTTCTTCATTTTATCTAAGAAAATTTTCCTACAGCTTTTATCATAAACACTTGAGTTTTTTTTTAACAAATAAAAAAGAAAAGTAGCTGATGCTTTATTGCTGTTTTGCAGCTGAAAAATATTGTTGATAGCATAGCCAAGCTGAGCACATTGCTAGATGCCGTATTTGATGCTGATTACGAATAGGCTACTCGTTTCTAAGAAAAACCGATTTTGGATGTCGGAGATCCGGTTTTCAAGTTTTCTCCAAATCGTACTTTGCATCTGCTAAGAAAGAAACTTTTTAAAAAAATATTCAAGGACAGGTAATTCTACAGTGAATAAAATTCTGCATTCAATACAGCACACTAGTGAGTCCACACAGATAAGAAAGCAAATCAAGACAAGCAAAAACATGAGTTTACCACTATAACATTGCCCAAAATACAGCATGCGAGGTTCGAATAGTTAGACGAGAAAAACTTTGAGTAAGATTACCATTTCGATTCAGAGCTACGTTCTTCATCGATTATTGATGACAGAGTAGATGATCCATATCCGAATCTTATCAGTTAGAGAAAAAAAATCAACTTTCAAAAAAAGACACGTTTAGTCCTAACTTCTTTCTCAAATTGAAAACAAGTAATTAGAATATTTGTCTTTTTCTGCATTGATGTTTGTGTCCGGTCAATATCACCAAGATGGGTCATTTTGAAATGGATACCAAACAACGTGTAAATAAAATATAACATGTACATATAAACCTATTATATTATAATAAAAATGAAAGAGAAAAATAAACTTATTTTTATCTTTCAACACGTGTTTCGACTGAGACAATGTCCATTTGATGAGTGTCAACATGACCTAAGGTGGACCATAGCTTTTTTTTGAACAATTCAGTAAACTTTCGATATCTCGAGAGCGAAAGATCGGAAAACCAAATCATTTCAGACTATTCTATTACTCATTAGTCCTCATCAAATAGACATTGTCTTGGCCAAAAAGTGATTTGACACTTGAAAAGATTCCCTCTCTAGTTCCTTTAGTTTCATTACATTTTACAGTTCATCTGAACGGATTTCTATTAACACATTTAAACAAATATTTAATCTAAGCTATTATACAACTTCGATCTATGTTTGCTTATACAAGAGCATACATGTTTTGTTAAACATTCTACAACAAAAAAAAACATGTAATACTGAATTGAGTAATCACATGATTCCTAATGAGGAATACCCATAAAATTGCTCGAGTACCCACACGAGTAATTAGAGTATTCCATCTGGCAAGTCGTACTCATTCGATGAGTGTGTTTTCTACTAGAGTATTCTTTAACAATAGTTCGTTGTGTTGTAGTATAAAAATCGGTTTGGAAGCCTATCCTTTCGTACTCGACAGTTCACTAGAACCAGAAGCAGTTAGTTTTAATTAAATGTACGAACTAGTTTTTAATAGTTCAATTTTCTCTACAAGGCGTGATATTTATTTTTTCAAGATAGATTTTGAAAAGCAGTTTTTGCAATAGCGACTGCTGTTTTTCATAAAAATTAGCTCGTTAATGAAAAAGCATAGATGAGTTCTCGCTTATTGTAACATCTCATTTTGTACAGAACTCAATAATGTTAAGTTGGAGCTGTACCAAAATCGCTATTTTGCTTTGTACAAACACTGCTTTGGATTTGTTCACAAAATTTACTGATAGTGATTCAATCGTATCTTAGAAGGAAAATTTAAAGACATATTCAGAAGTAGCGAAAAATTCTGATTCTATGTATACAATTGCTTCTGACTAATGTCCGCGCCAGAATAAAAGAGGGATTGGTGTAAGTGCAATAACTCGATAATGGTAATCGCTAGCGATCTGCGGTTTTCATCAATTGAAAGAGGAGAAGTCAGGATATATTTTCTCCTGATACTGTATAAGACAAAATCCTTTTAAAACTGATCATCTTCGAAAAAAATGCAAAATAAAGCATGAAAATGACTTGCTATCTAGATGAAATTTTGATTTTGACCTCTGATTTAGATAGAAGGACTTCAGATCTATAGTTCAAGATACAAGGTAAATAGTTTTCTTATTACATTGTAACGTTGAGCAAATGGAATCATGCATGAACATGCGCAAATAATAAGAAATTTCGCTCACTTTTTACTGGATTTTTCGAACTTTTTATGATAATAGCTTGACATCTCGATGAAAATGTAACGAAATGTCAGAAAGCATATTGTATCTTGAACTATAGATCTGAAGTCCCTCTATCTAAATCAGAGGTCAAAATCAAAATTTTATCTAGATAGCAAGTCATGTTCATGCTTTATTTTGCATTTTTTTTCGAAAATAATCAGTTTTAAAAGGATTTTGTCTTATACATTATCAGGAGAAAGTATATCTCGACCTCTCCTCTTTCAATTGGTGAAAACCACAGATTGCTAGCTATTACCATTATCAAGTTATTGCACTTACACCAATCCCTCTTTTATTCTGGCACGGACATTAGTGTATCAAATATATTTTTTAAAGAAATGGAAGCGAAAAACAATCTTTCAGACATTTTCATTCCTCATATCATAACAATTTTTTTATGATGGGTTACGACATCCAAACAGAACATTGCTTTAAGTGATGAAAGAAATATATGTCAAATTTACATATTGAAGGTTAGTTTCTAGTTAAATAGATCATCCAAAAGCTCAACATATAATATTTCTTAAATAAATATTATCGATTAACATGTTTTTTCCAACAAAAGTATGTATTTATTCATTATGTTAATACTATAATAAGGTTTAAAAGAAACCTATAAGTGAAATGCTTGTTATCATATAAGAAAAAATAATATTTATATACGATCAAAAACATTTTTTTTGAGTCACCAAGTTAGAAAGGAGCTATTATATGCCCATTAGTTTCTTTTGCAAAGATAAGAATCGTATGAGAATCAATTGGATAAAAGAAAAAAAAAACGCAGCATATCAATTATTTTTATTGCCAAAAAAAAATAATAGTGTATCGACAATGATTATAAACGTAAAAAAAAAAGAAAAAAAAACGTGTCTCAGCTCTTCATTTGATAATATAAAGTAGACGTTAATGAATATCGGTCGTCTACACATGTAAACGAGCGACAGGAAAGCAAAACTTTCATGCAAATAAGGTTTTACGTCTATATATGCATCAGTGACTCTTTTCGACGGACTGAAACAATGTGAAGACGACGAAGAAAAAAAAAGAAAATGATGATTACAGTTGAAATACAAATAATATTTTAATAAGTATCTATATTTTAAGTAAGTATATATATGAGATACTTTTTCTATATTTTCATACTAAATAAATACGTAGGATTTACGTTTGAATCATTTATAAACAATACTACAGTATACTGCTTGTCGTGTTAGAATATGAATCATAAGAAAGTTGTTTCAGTGGTATAAATAAATGTCATATACTTTTATACGAGGAGAATGACATTCAAAAAACCGATGTTGTCACACCAATAAGAAACGAGTATTTCAAACATTTCATTGACGTCGTATTTAAAAGAATAGGTTGACAGCTGTTTCCTTTTATGAATTAACTTGAATATATGCAAAAATTGATATCTAATAGCTAAATAGCACGAAACAAAAATGCTTGTTTTTTTTTCTCAAAAAAGAAAATGTACGTACATGAAATAATAAATTTTAACACATTATCAAAGAAAATAAAGATGCTGCAGAAAATAGTTATCTTTATTGGTTATCTCAGACATAATACTCTAGCATAAACTTGAATCACGTGTATCTACTTACTGTCATATGATTGTAATTCTTTTTTGATTGAGAAGGATTGGCAAGTTGAATAAATATAGACACAAAACATTCTCTATAACTTAAGTATTATCATGAAAACTTTTTTTTTCATTTTGAGTTGGTTATACAATTAATCGATTTTCTTTATTCATCATACAGTTTATATAGTTTATTTCTTTTTCAAGTATTGAAAAGCTATTCAATGACTTCTGATTCTGATAATGACTGCCCTCCACTTCTTCTGGAAGATGAAGAACAAGACACAACAATGTCTATAGAAGAAATTAAATTTTCACTTTGGAATACATTCAAACACCATATTCCGCGTCTTATTATTACTGTCCTTATCGATCTTATTATTCCTCTTGCTGTTTATCTTATGTTACAAAAACGAATCAAACCTGTTTATGCACTTGCAGCGGCGGGTGTGCCACCTTTTATTATGGTTCTTATCAAAGGTGTCGTATCGCGAACATTTGATGCACTTGGTTTTATTGTTTTTATTTCTTTCGTTGCATCAGCTATTGCAGCTATCATAACACATAATCCTATTATTCTATTATTAGAAAAATCTCTTGTTACTGGTATAATATCCATTATTTTTGGTATAACATTGATACCATTTCATTGTTGCCATCATCGATGTCAAATACGGCCACTTGCTTATTATTTTTATCAAGACTTAGTACCAACGAAACGAAAAGATATTGGATTACCTGATAGTGTATTTGAGGATACACAAGAATTAATTGATGATCAGTTTTCCGAGATGCATGAAGAAAACTTATTACCATCATTAAGTCATAAACAAGAAATTGCTCAAGTATATGAATGGATTTATGCACATTGTTCATCATTTCGTTATTCATGTTATATTATAACAAGTATTTGGTCAGTTGGACTTCTATTAGAATTTCTTGCTCGATTATTTCTTATTTTAATTCGTTTAACAATTGATAAAATATTTATTTATGGTCATATTATATTGAGTGTAATGACAAGTTTATTAATTCTATTAACAGTTATTTCTATAACAAGAGAAAGAAAATATACATTAAAATCAATTGAACAATGGAAAAAAGAATATTTAAACCTTCACCAACAACAATCCGAATTGATATCATCACCATTGATAAACAATATAAATTCAAATATTGTTATTTAAAGTCATACTATTATTTTTAACATGAAAAAAAAAGTATTCATTTCTTTCAAATATTTTAACACAAACATATTTATATTTTTAAATATAATTTATTTTTCTTTTCGTTTTTTTTTAAACTTATTTCAAATAACAATCAAAATAAAGTACTAAAGAAATAACTCAATTCATCTAGACACAATTCTAATGCTTTTTTTAAAACTAGAACATGTATTATATCGTTATTTTAAATTACGTCATAGTACAATAATGATAAAACTGATCATTTCAAATGGTTCTAACATGAACTTGAAGAATACTTTTTAAGAGCCTTGATTGATCTCTGCCAATACAAAAAGAAAAAGAAAAAAAGAACTGCAAGGCAAACGACTAGTAATTCAATGGAAAGGAGTTGTGAATGTTTGCTAGAAAAAAAAAAACAAATCGGCCAACCAAAAGTATTTCTCTTTTGTTGCACATTATAGTGAAATGTCTTGATGTTATTCGTTGTCGTCAAGAACACGTGCATGATTTACATTAAAATGTAACTATAATTCTCATGCATCGAGTTACTAGATGTAAAACATGTTGAAATGATTGACAGAACTGCAACAAAACAACACAAATCGATCATATGTAGACATTATTAATACATCTAGTGAATATTGCTATTATCAAGGAAGAAAATTTTCATATAAAATATAAATTATATTAGAAAAATACGTAAGTATATATATCTGGAAATATGTTACTATGTAATACATGTTCCTTTTTTGGTCCATTTTTGAAAATATTTTCAGTAGAATATTGAATAGAAAGAGAAACTGATCAAAATAAAATTTCATCCAAAAGAAAAAATGAAGCCTAGTTAAGAATTTTACTTGTAATCAAAATCAATAACAATTCATTCACTTGTAAAAGAAAAAAAATAATTTTTTCTGGTTGAATTCAATGTCGATTATATGAATCATAATTATCGTTGCCTAGGATCGGCTTTTTTTTTCTTTTGTCAATAAAATCAAACATTTGAAAATCAAATGAATTTAACTCAATTATAACCTGTATTTCAATATTAGTTTAGTGCAAATATTGTTAGACATATATAGAGTGTAATGTGTTGATGAGTGATTCATATGCCTTAAGCAGGAAGAGATCATAATTACTTGTTCATCTAGAAAGAAAATAGTTGATGAAGATTAATAGTATAAAATTGATATATAACAGTTCAGTCATGAAAACTAACCTTAAGGTAAGAAAATCTCTCTTTCATTTATTCGATGTCTTATGAAACTTGTTCATGAAATATTTATTAATTGAAAGAAATTTATGGAAAAAAAAACAAAGGATACTATCTTTAATAACAAGAGCATTTTTGTCTAATAGAAAATTCTTATAATATATTGAATAATAAAAATATCTTTGTTATTTGTCAGATCTTTATCCTACCTATACTTTATTTTTATAGCTATATCTATCTTGAATCTTCTTCGCAATAATCTAACGAATATATGTAGGGGGATAATATAGTAAAAATCCTATAGATCCTGAAAAAGAAAAACAGGATCTTTTAAACAAAGTTAAAAAGAGAAGATCAGAAAGGGTAGTAAAGATCCATCTCATATACATATGAGAGGAACGGAAGAACCATCACAAATACATATATGACAGAAAAGGATACTCTATGACACATGACTAATAACAAAAAAAAAGGAAAAAAAACAAGTGTATATGTATAATGCGATAGATAAGGAGAGACAAAATCCCTATTACAATATCTGAAGACGGTGGAATTCATAATACTATTGAAATTCTTTTTTTCGTTTCAGTATTAATACAGATCTCCAATTTTTTATATATTCAAGCAAATACTACATGTATCCGATATATGAAATAACTCCTCCATCATTAGTAACTGCTGATCTACATCAACAACAAGAAATACCCGTAAAAATCAAATTCTCACTTTGGCATACATTTAAACATCATATTCCACGTTTTATAATAACCATTCTTGTGGATGTTATTCTTCCACTTGTGATATACATATCACTTCAAAAATATATTAAACCTGTTTTTGCACTTTTAGCTGGTAGTAGTCCACCTTTATTTATGGTTATATTTAAAGCGATGTGGTTACGTACATTTGATGCACTTGGATTTCTTGTCTTTTTTACTTTTTCTATTACCGCTGTTGTTGCTGTTGTATCACGTAATCCTATTATACTTTTATTAGAAAAATCATTACTTACCGGTATTTTATCCATTATTTTTGGAGTAACATTAATACCATTTCAATGTTGTAAACATCGATGTCGTTGGCGACCATTAGCTTATTATTTTTATCAAGATTTAGTACCAACAAAACGAAAAGATATTGGATTGCCTGATAATATATTTCATGATGATGACGAACAAATTGATAATAATTATGCTCAACTTAAAGAAGAAGTTTTAATAGAAAAATTATCTCATAAACAAGAAGTTGCTCATGTATATGAATGGCTTCATTTACATTGTTCATCATTTCGTAATTCATGTTATTTTATAACAAGTGTTTGGGCAGTGGGATATCTTTTAGAGTTTCTTGCTCGAATGACTCTTATTCTAGCAGGTTTTACAATTAATAAAATCGTTATTTATGGACATATTATACTTACTACAATAACAATTTTAATGATTCTTTTGACTGCTATTTGTATAACTATTGAAAGAAAATTTACATTAGCATTTATTGAACGATGGAGATTACAAAATTTAAATATTCAACAATCTCAACCGAGAAGATTATCAGAAATGTCATCTTCATTAGTTGTAGTTAGAAGTGATTCAAACTGTATTTTGAGTATCAATGCATGAAGTTTCGTTTTGATATTTCACGAAAATAATTTTTTTTGCGTTTGCAAATAAAATTAATGATGGGATCATTTAGTCTATTGAATGCATAATATGAAGTAGAGCATTTCCGCAGTCGGTCACGAACACACTCGGTCTCTCTCCTTTGCGTGTTTATTGCTAAAAACAAAATCTAGACTTTGTGTCGCAATTACTTAAAGATGGGAAAGTCGTACAATTTTCATTGAAAAATTTTTGCAAAGTTCTATATTCCTATTTGATCCATCGTTTTTTGAAACTTCGACACGAAATTTCGTTTGTTCTTACTTTTTTTCACAAAAATCTTTCGAAGTTCTCGTTATATCAATGATCGGTAATGAAAATTAAAAGTATATTCGTTATTCTTGTATTTTAAACTAAATCGAAATTATTGTAACTATGTATAAATATAAATGATTTAATTTACTTTCTGGTAGATAAAAGTTTTTATGCATTCTTTGAGGATTCACAGTGCAGCTAAGTGTATACCATCTTTCTATTGATTACATGAACACTACGTCATAGTTCTTTATTTTCAAAGAGAGTTTAGGAGTTGATTGCATGTGATTCATTAATTGTGTATTTTTTCCAGTTCTGTAGATCTGAAGTTTCTTTATATTATTGTTAGTAAAAACATGTATTCACTTCAAACAAATCAATAAAATGATATTCACTATTCAATAACAAGGGTGAGTGTAGATGTAATGTGCGATCATCTTCACTTCATCACACCCACATCCACATTCATACCCTGTAAGCTTAGTCGAATCGATGTGTGCAAAAGATTCGAATTACTGCGATCTATCATAACTGAGATATAATTCTTTTTCACATTTGAACTGAATCCAGTCAGAAATTCTTGTATCCATTGAAGCGCGCAAATCACCTTATTCACTCTTATCCTTTCAATAAATATTTTGGGCTTCGGTTTGTTAATTTCGTAGTTTCTCTAAAGTTGCAGGTGGGTTTTTCATATTCAACTGGAAAAGCTTTTTACATTCTATTAACATATGTAAGAATCATTGACAGATTTTGAGATTTAATAGCAAAAAAAATTGAACAGAACTATAAACATAGTATATTGTAATCGGAAAACGTTGAAATTTTCGACATCTAAAATACTTTGCGAGAACTTTGTTTTCATGGCTAGCAATTATGTAATATCGAAAATAATCTTTCATCGCAAGGAAGAAAAGGAAGAAAAACTTGGGAAAAACACTACCCATTGAGTCATGGGCGTTATCTACATAATACTTTTGTAGTTACTTGTCAATTCTATTGATTCATTTAAGTTAATGGTGCTTTTTTATTTTTGTGTGGATAGAAAACTATTTGTTACTAGCGATAATTTTCACCGTTGAATAATCGATAAAAAACCACAAAGCTTTCGACATCTGAATCAGATGTGCTCACTAAAAGAAAATGTTTCACACTGTTGATATGTTATGCTCTATCTGTGAACTATTCATTTATCATATTGTATACATTTTCTCATGTGAAGCTTTTTCTTTTTTTTTCTAAATGATTTCTTGATTTGTTAGTATTTGACAACACGTAGAGAGATTGGTCGAAAATGGATTGTCTTGAAATAACTTGATCAAGATTCAATCGACTCAATACGACTAAATCTTAAGATCTTACCATATGAATCTCCAAAAATAAGTATTATTAATTCAAATCAAACTGAAAAATTAGTAGTTATCTTCATGACGATGTTTCTGCTATGAGAGAAAATAGTAGTTGGTACATTTCAACATGTAGGAACCAACACAAAAATAAAATCGATGCTGTAAAAAATTGAAGTATAATTTTCTCTATATACATAACTTCGGTATGATGCGATTGTTATAGTTAACATTCTTGAGGGAATATGCTGTTCATTATACCGTTATCATGGAATCTACAATCTTCACTCAATTCCTTTGTAATTTGTTTTATGAGGTTGTGTTCAAATAATCATCTCAATCCCACTGTGCTATTTCGACTAGTTTATTTAGTATTAGCTTGATTAGTCACTTCATTAGATAAAATTGACGACAAAAATATTTGTGTTCAGTTGGCAACAGCAGCAAGCGAAAATAAGAACTTTTGCTTTTTAAAGTTTCGTGATTTGACAACTACCAAAAGTTTTTTACAATTTTTTTCTTTTCAGT